GATTTACAAGTTAAAACTGAAGCCAAATGGAGCAATCGGTAAACACAAAGTAAGGTTAGTAGCTAGAAGATTTCTACAGAAATCTGGATTAGATTGCTTTGAGGTATTTGCACCTGTTGCTAGACATGAAACAATCAGACCAGTGATTGCTATAGCTGCTAATAGAAATTGGCCTCTAATGCATTTAGATGTGAAATCTACATTTCTGAATGGTCGTTTACAAGAGGAAGTTTATGTGTTACAACCTCTTGGTTTTGTGAAAAAGAATCTGGAAGGGATAGTGTACAAGTTGCATAAAGCCTTGTATGGACTAAAACAAGCTCCAAGAGCTTGGAATCTAAAAATTAATTCATTTTCCAAGCTTTAAGGATTTAGAAAATGTGAGATGGAGTATGCTGTTTATGTTCAGCATACATCTGATAGCAATATGATTATGGTGTGTCTATATGTTGATGACATATTGCTAACAAAGAGTTGTTCAGATGAGATAGCTAAGTTCAAGAAGGTGTTTAGGAATGAGTTTGAGATGACTGATTTAGGAAATATGGTATATTTTCTAGGGACGAAGATTTTGTACTCTAATAAGGGTGTAATTTCGCATCAGTTAAAGTATGAAGTTGAGATTCTAAAGAGATTTGAGCTAATAAATTGCAAATCTACAATCACACCTACTGAAACAAATCACAAGTTGGATTATGATGTTGAGGGTGATGATGTAGATGCTACAACTTTTAAAAAGTTGGTAGGCTTATTTAGATATCTTTGTAATACCAAACATGACATTTTCTATGTAATTGGAATTGTAAGTAGGTTTATGAACAACCCAAAGTGGTCACATTACCAAGTTGTTATCAGGATACTGAGGTATATTAAAGGGACTTTGAAGTATGAAGTTTTGTTCCTCTTTGATGCTAAATCTAATTCAGAGCTGATATGTTATTCAAACTCTGATTGGTATGGAGACAGAGTTGACATAAGAAGTACTTCTGGATGTTTCTTCAAGTATTTGGGAGGTCCCATTTATTGGTGCTCCAAGAAGTAACCAGTGGTTGCATTGTCAACATGTGAAGTTGAGTACATTATAGGTGCTTTGTTTGTTTGTCAAGCTGTTTGGATTCTGAATTTATTGCAGGATCTGAAGATCAAGGTGAGCAAGCCTGTGAAGTTGATGATTGACAACAAATCATCTATAAGCCTTGCCAATAATCAAGTGTTGCATGGAAGAAGAAAACTTATTGACACAACGTTTCATTTTATGCGCAATCATGTTCATAAAACTATCAAGACTGAACATTTTATCCATTTGGGGAATGGAATTGGTTTTGTTAATTTTAGTCTTGAATATGGATTAAGGGATGGTGTTAGAGTGTAATCCAAATTCCTAATCTGTTGAATTTAGATTTAATTTGCTTTTGCATTTAGATTTCATTTAGCTTGAGCTTGTGTATATAAGTTAAAACTTAGCTCAAATTTTAACATTATTTTGCAATCATTTTTCAGTTAGAAGTTAGTTACAAATTTTTTTAAATCTTCCATCATCTTCTTCATATTCAACCTTGTGCTCCAACAATATTGAATTTAGAGACTTCAACGACCCACTTCTTAATTATCTTTGCTAAGTCTTATTTGAGCAACACTTGCATGATAAGGTGGTCATTCCTCAGAGTGATATCTTGTGCTAAAAAATAATGCCTCAATTTTTGGGTTATAATAACGAGATCCAAAGAAATATTTTCTATTTTTAGGAATCTTATCTCCAGACCTTGTAGTTGTGGATCTATATGTTTGAAGTATGAAGCCGATGATCTTGACATTGGTGACCTTCTTGGTGTTTTGATGATGATAACTCTTATGCTTGTTGAATTTGGCGGTAATATATTTACAAATCTTAGATGATGGTGATTAACTTGAAGATTCAAGGTTCCAATGAAGTTCTTATATGATCGGTATATCTAGAAAAAACATGAAAGCTCTAGAGTGGAAACTTTGTAACTAAATAAATATTTATTTTTATCAAAGTTGTCTTAGTGCTTTGTGAGTGGAAACTGCATGTGAAGAAAGAGTTCTATTGGTGTCATGACATTGTTGTTATTTTCAAGAGTGCAATAATCTTGAATAATTGTGTTTGATTATTGAGATAAACTATTTGAAATTTTTTGTTTGGTTATAGAATTCATCCTGCAAAAGTTATGTTTGGTTATTTAGATTACCTTGTAAAATCTCTACTCGGTTTCTGAGTTTAACCCATGGAAAATCTCACTTTTGGTTAGGGATAAGCCCGTATAGAATCTCTTAATTTACTTGTATCAAAGGTTCGTAGGCATGGCATATAAAATCTCGATATTATAGTAAAATCTCAAGAAGATATCTTTGGGACAAGAGTAGGCCAACACTTGGTCGAACCTGTATAGTATAACTCTGGCGTCATCTCTATAACTATTATCTTTTAATTTCATCTAATTACTTTATTGCTTTATTTTCTGATGCTTTTTATTATGATCTTAAAGATACTAACACAATTTACTTAATTATTAAAACTTCTAAATTATTCACGAATTTTGAATACCACAATTCACCCCCTCCCTCTCTTGTGTTTGTAATCACTTGTCCAACAAGTGGCTTCAAAGCCTAACACCTCTTAAAGAATAATTGACCTAGGAGAAAAATGACTTTAAGCTATTTACTAAACAAACCTATATCCTTTAATGGAGAAGAGTATAGTTTGTGGAAAGAGAAAAAGAAATTTTTTATATAATGGATAGACCGTGGAGTTTGGAACGCTCTGAAAGAATGTCCATTTTTTCCAATACATGATATCATTGATGTTGTAGTAAACAAATCAAAAAAGTATTAGACCAAATATGATAAAGAAAATGTGCAGCGCTGTTTGAAGGTAAAAACTTTCATCATCGCTGCTCTAGGTCTTGATGAATTCTTTCAAGTTTCTCCCCACGAGACTGCAGAATAAATTTGGAACATCCTACAAACTACTCATGAAAGAACTACTAAGGTAAAGAGGGAGAGGTTAGACACATTAAATCATGAGTGTGAACTTTTTAGAATGAAATCTGAAGAGAACATAAATCAAATACAATCACAATTTACCTATATCATGAGTCATATGAGAATCATGGGAAAAATATTTTCAAATGAAGAATTGGTTGTGAAAGTTCTTCGATGCATAAACTGAATTTGGCAACCTAAATTCACTATAATTTGTGAATGTATAGATTTAGCAACCATGGACACACACGCGCGCGCGCGCGCGCGTTTTTTTGATAAATTCTAGAAACATGAGATGGAGCTAAAGATACTTGCTGATGTCGAAGAAAATGACAAGAAGAAGAGGAAAAGTATTGCACTAAATGCTACTAACATCAAAGATATGGAATTACAAGATGAAAACTGTAAAGTGAGATTAACAAATATATGAAACTCAAATTTTGAAAATTCAAGAGTTCTTAAGACACGGAAAACAAATTACAAGTTTCCAAGAGCAAAATGAAGAAGGGTACTCCTTCATTCTCACATGCAACCAATGTGCAAAGGAATGGAACATAAGACCAAACTACCCGCAAAATAAGAGAAGATCCAAGAAGCCGTGAAACGAAGTTAAAACAACCTACATATCTTGGGATGACAATGATGTGGAATCCTATGGCAAAGAAGAAGCAAACATGTCTCTCATGGAAAATCATGAAGAAGATGAGGTAACCTTTTATTTTTCTTATTGAGACTTGTTTCACATATTTAAAAAGATAACTAAAGAAAAAAGTAAATTAGAACAAATTGTCTCTACCTCCAAAGTCAATATTTCTTTCTTCGAATTGAAAAAAAAATAAAGACTTATTGGAAGAAATAGAACGACTTAAAGAGAGATAAGATTATCTAATTCAAAATTCCTCATCTTCTCACGAGAATCAGAGGTACTTCAGATTTTGCGATTCCATCGATTTTTTTCTTGATTTAGGAATCCTAATTCTGACTGATTAACTCACTGGCCTGTTGGATCTGTGTCTAGCAAGAAATAATCGGGAAATTGCGAAGCATTGGATATGGCGATGCTTTGAAATGCATCGATCGATGTCGATAGGTGAATGATTGAATCTAAAACGAAATCAGGTTCCTCGATCATCTTCACATAAGTTATTGCTTACGTTCGATTTGTTTCCGGAAGAGATCTTTCTTCAGGTGTGGAATGAGTTGTTCTTGATAAGAACACGAGAATCAAAAGTTGATTCCTACGCTAGAAATAGAGATAGATGTGGAAGTTGCAGAGCTTCCGATGCAGCGAAGTGAGGTGTACCTATAAGGTTAGAACTTTGACGCTTAAGTAAGTATGTGAAAGAGTAAAGAGTATTCAAATTATGTTTAAAACTTGTTACCTGATTTTGACGCCATTCCATATAAATGGGGAGAGAAATAACAGTCTCACTATCTTTCAAGCATGAAATGCGGAAGACCGTTGAATATACTTGAGACGTAGATTTCTTGCTGTAAGGTATAAGATTATCCTATGATAAGATGAAGATTATGAAAACAAACTATTTCAAAATAGTCGGTTCAATAGAAATATGAATATGGCTGACCCATAACAAATAGTCTTACTCGAATAATTTTTTTCTTAAGAATAAATTTATAAAATTATATCAATAGTCACCAAATTTAATAATTCAACTTTTTTAAAAAAAATTATAATTCAATTTAAAGGGTCTTAAATATTTAGTATCAAAAAAAAAAAAAAAGTAGAATAAGTATTCCGTGTTAATAAAGTCACAAGGTAGAAACAGTCTTTGACTTTATATAGACTAGTATTCAATTGGTTCTTTTTTTCTTATGTTGAATAGAGTAATTGATTCGTCCTTTTACCTGTTACAATTAATGAAACAAAACCTGTAGCGCACTAATCTGTGTATTTATATACATGCATAACTCCCCTGTTTCATTTCATCGTTCCACATAAACAAAAATAAACAAACCGCTCTTTCTTTCTCACCACCATGGTTCTCTCAAAAACAGCCTCCGAGTCCGATGTCTCCGTCCACTCAACCTTTGCTTCTCGCTATGTCAGAACTTCACTTCCCAGGTAACAACAACAACAACCATACACTTTTGATCAAATACGTGTCTGATGATGTCCGTCAAGTATCAGTGTCGTGTCTGTGTGTTTGTGCCTGTGTCTTGTGTCTGTATCTCTACATATTTTCTAACAAATAATAGCTGAATTTTATTATAGATTCAGGATGCCGGAGGAATCGATACCAAAGGATGCAGCATATCAGATCATAAACGATGAACTGATGCTGGATGGAAATCCTAGATTGAATCTGGCATCGTTTGTGACAACATGGATGGAGCCAGAGTGTGATAAACTCATCATGGCTTCCATCAACAAGAACTACGTTGACATGGATGAATACCCTGTCACCACTGAACTACAGGTATAGATACAGTATCTAATTTTATATTGTTGCAATCCATTTATCATTTACGGTATAGATCATGGCATTTAATATATTATTTTTAACGCGCTAATTATGGAGTATAAATTATTTATTCTCTTAATGAAAAAGTCACAAGTTGTCTGTTAGGTTTTTAGATATGGTTAATTATTTTTTTTTGTTGACAAATACAGCATGATTAATTAATTAAACGGTTCTTTTCGTGGCACTTTCTTTGCTTTTGTCGCTAATTTTTTAATCCAATTGCCTTTTTTTGACATTGCCTTTATTGAACACATATTAAATGCTTAATATGCCTTTTATCATTGGCTAATAGATGAGCTTATTTAATGAATCCCTGCAAGTTTACTAACCAATAATTCGTTTTCTAATTTAACCTTTTGTTGTTTTGTATGACTTTTTACACATAGTGGTAGTACACTTTATTATCTTTGAAATGCTTCTTTATCTTTTTCTTACAATATTCTGAATAATTTTTTATTTTTTATTTTATCTATGCAAAGAATACTTAAGAGTAATATTCATAAAATAATAATTTTAATAATATATTAAATTTTAAAAACTCAAAATAAATAGTAACACATTTTTCTGCAAATGCAACAATTAAAAAGAAATAGAAAAAAATAATTATTAAATAAAATTCGTAAATAAGAAAATCAAAAATATTTTAAATTTTTTTTATAAGTGAAGAAAATTCTATTTTTTATTTTATAGGTGAAGCACAAAGCACGAAAATTATAAATACACACTCGACATTGATAATAATTTTTTTAAAAAATAAATTAAATTAAATATAATCACAAATGTTATCGCTGACAATATTAATTGTTTGTGACATTTATATGTAGAATCGGTGTGTTAACATGATAGCTCATCTTTTCAATGCACCTCTTGAAGAAACTGAAGCTGCAGTTGGTGTTGGAACTGTTGGTTCATCAGAAGCTATAATGTTAGCAGGATTAGCATTCAAAAGAAAATGGCAGAACAAAAGAAAACTAGAGGGAAAGCCTTTTGACAAACCCAACATTGTCACTGGAGCCAATGTCCAGGTACATTAATCACATTCTTCTTTCTTACATTGTTTTTGTTATTCCATTCTTTAATATCTTCAATTATCTTCCATTTGAAGGTTTGTTGGGAGAAATTCGCAAGGTACTTCGAGGTGGAGTTGAAAGAGGTGAAACTAAGTGAAGGATACTATGTAATGGACCCTGAAAAGGCTGTGGAATTGGTTGATGAGAATACTATTTGTGTTGCAGCTATTCTTGGTTCAACATTGAATGGCGAGTTCGAAGATGTTAAACGCTTAAACGATCTCCTTGTTGAAAAAAATAAGGAAACCGGGTAGGTTCTATAATATTACCTCTGAGACAATTTACTTTTTAAATTCATTGAATAACTAATGTATCTGTTACTTGCGACTGAGGTGCTGAAATGTGAAATTCTTTTGTAGATGGGACACTCCTATTCATGTTGATGCAGCAAGTGGTGGATTCATTGCTCCATTTATATATCCAGAGCTCGAGTGGGATTTTCGTTTGCCGCTAGTGAAGAGCATCAACGTTAGTGGACACAAATATGGTCTTGTATATGCCGGAATCGGTTGGGCTATTTGGAGAAGCAAGGATGATTTGCCAGAGGAACTCATCTTTCACATCAACTATCTAGGAGCTGATCAGCCTACATTTACCCTCAACTTCTCCAAAGGTATGTAACACATAATCGGAACACGCAATAATAGGAATTCAACCCCCGATTTAGCATTTGCAAAATTTGCGTGATCAAATGAATAGATCAAGATCAGATATCTCATATCTTGAGTGGTCTGATCTTGATCACTCCATCGAGATTTCTTGAGTGCGGCGAATCTGAGTACATGAATACATATATAATAAGTTCTTTAACAAAACTATGAAATGCAGGTTCTAGCCAAGTCATTGCGCAATACTATCAAATGATTCGCCTTGGTTTCGAGGTATTAAAATCTTCATATTTTTCTTGTAAAACACTTCAAAATTATGTGATGTACTAATTCTTTGCATTAACTTGTTGCAGGGGTATAAAAATGTGATGGAAAATTGTAGAGACAACATGATAGTACTAAAAGAGGGACTCGAGAAAATGGGGCGCTTCAACATCGTGTCGAAAGACGACGGTGTCCCATTAGTGGCCTTCACATTGAAGGACCATACAAGCTTTGATGAATTCCAAATCTCCGACTTGTTGAGGCGTTTTGGATGGATTGTTCCGGCATACAGCATGCCTCCGGACGCTCAACACATAACTGTTTTGCGCGTTGTCATAAGGGAGGATTTCTCGAGGACTTTAGCAGAGCGGCTTGTGGCTGATATCGAGAAAGTGTTGCACGAGCTCGATGCACTTGCAGCGAGGATAAAGATGATAAGTAGAAGTAGCAATGTTACGGTTCTTGAAGTTGTGAAGAATAATGGTGAAGTTGTGACGGCTAAAAAGAGTGATTTGGAGACTCAAAGAGAAATAACTGCGGTTTGGAAGAAGTTTGTGTTGGAAAGGAAGAAGTTGAATGATAAGATGAATGGTGTTTGCTAGAGTTGGTTTGGAATGGAACAAGGGTGTGTTTGTCTCTATATTTGCCTCAATAATTGATTTTTTTGTTTTGTTTAGGAAGTGATTAAGTAGATTGTTATTGAGTTAAGTTATTTCTATGTATGTTTCTCTTGTTGAGTGATTACAAGAAAAACTGAATTATGCTATAATATTTATATTTTATAAGTATGGTTTTGTTTATTTATGCAGAATGGATTATTTATCTTATTGTGAATTTTGTTCAAGTTATGCTCATATCTTGTCTGTTTACAAAACCAACATATAGTATTAGACTTAACATGCTTCACCTGCTTGGAATAAACCCAAATATATACTACACATGAGCCAACATCCACATAAAGAAGAAACAGGTTGTGTCTTCTATTGAGAAATTGCAATGAGGAACATTCAAACAGAAAGAGAGACGAGGCTGCATGCCCAAAAGCCAAAAGTTGCATTGTCAAAAAGAAGAAGTAGCTTGATTTAATTTATAAATGAATCATTGTAACTTGCACTATTTATAGCTTCTTCTTAATTGGAAAACTCAAGATTGAGTTAGATCCTGAAAGAGATTTTTGTTCTGGGCCGACCACAAGTTTAAAAAGTCCAATTTTGGCGAGGCTTAGTCCTAGAACGTGCTTAGCAAGACGTTTAAGACTCATGGTATTTAAAACCAAGAGAACTACACTTGATCTTTACCCTTAGACGATCGCTCACATTCAGATATAATTGAATGGTTCCGAATGTAAGACGACAAATCACATGGGAACAATTTTAACCGTATGCACTATATAAAGTCCAACATACGTCATTTCATTCACACACTCAAACTATTTTCTCATTTATTCACTTATTTGAGCGTTGAAGAACTATCCTTTCAGATCCACCCCAACTCTGATGTACCAGAAACTCACTCTACCGCATCACAACTCTATTTATGATTCTAAAACAGAAAATTGACGTTGATTGTAGGAATCAAAGTTTGATGAAGGCGAGAATATCTTAGCGTTCAATGACTCCTCTATCACTCGTGTGAGGACTAGAAATGCCATTTTCTTTCGGCGAGGGAAATAATGTGAGGACCGTGGACACATGTTTCTTAGTAATTCCATGCGAAAGCGTATGCAATGCCTTATTAGGAAGACCATTCCTAGTGGCGCTAGATGAAATGACCACTATAGTCCATCTGAAGGTGAAATATCATAAGGATTCTGAAAAATCATTTGTCATTTAAGGTGATCTACGCGGATCTCAATAGGTAAAAGAAACGATACTAAAGAACTCCTTAGCTACCACCGTCACCCTCGAGAAGAAAATGAAGACGAGTTGTGTGACTACCGATAGTAAGGTCGACCTCTACGTATGAGAAGTTGAAACCTTACGAGATGATGAGCTCAGATCTCTTCCAGGTGCCAAAACGAAAGACTTGAGGCCAATTCTATACTACAATTTTAAGGTTGTTCAACTGATTGACAATCTGGTGAGATCAATCTATATATGAGATGTTTTTTTTAATGTGGTGAATGAATGGCTCATTGAGTGCATTAAAGTTAATGTTGACCTCTTCAAAGTTTCTCCAAATAAGATTTCCGACATAGACCCTAGTGTGGCTTTCCACTAATTAAATATTGACCCACGTATTTCGTAAACAAAGTGTTTAAAGACGCCGAGGCCCGTTACCAGAAGATCGAGAAACTAGCTTTGGTTGTCATAACTACGACGAGGAAGCTCTGAACATATTTCCAAGACCATAAAATATTCGTAAAAACAAACTACCTTGTACGGAAGGTCCTCAAGAAGTCAGGCCTTGCAAGAAGAATGATGTCTAGTGCGGTAAAGCTGTCAGAGTATGACATCTAATATGTTTTAAGAGAAACCATAAAATCCCAAGTCCTAGAAGATTTTTTGGCAGAATTTACCTCGCTAGTAGATGAAGAGGTGCCCCTATATGGGCGCTATCGGTGGATGGCGCCTCAAAAATCAAAGGAATTGTCCCCGAGATACTATTAGAAGGACAATGTAACGTACTGACCAGGAAGTCATCAAATTTGAATTCAAGACCAGTAACAACTAGGCCGAGTATGAACCCCTCATAGCCAATATGGTCATCGTCTTAAAAATGGGGGCTTAAAGATTAAAGGTGAAGAGAGATTCCTAACTGGCAGCAAATCAAGTTGTCGGGAAGTACTAGGCGAAGGAACCTCAACTCATTAAATATCTTCATAAAATACAAGAACCATCGACACACTTGAAGTCCTTCAAAGTGAAGTATTACCCATGGAACAAAATTTCACGTCCTACAAAATACAAATTCGTGACAAATTCTAAATTTTCTTCAACAACATCATGCGTTTAAAGTTGTTGAAACTCAAATTCTAAATTTTGTTGCATACACATTATTTTTTAAGTTCAATAGTTTTGCATTTATTTGTTTACAGTATAAAAATAATAAATGTTAGATGAAGAAAATGATGTTAGCTTTTATAAGATAAAAGATTAGGTAATGAACCAACCTTTAATATAGAACTTTTTTTGCTCTTACAATCCATCCCATGATTTGTTTCCACACTTCTCTAAGTTCGCATTTCACTGTTTTCAATCTAACTACTTTCATTATCATTTATTTCCTTTCAATGCCTTGCATCCAATATTCATCCTTATGCATTCATGTTTTGATTGGTTGTGATGGTTTCACATGGATCACTGATGTTTCATGTGGACTGATGTCTTGTCAATATCTTGACCGTTATTAATTTATAAATGAGCACCAAATATTTATTTATAGACAAAACTGGATTACATTTTCCCACGGTTGATAAGCATACCTAAGGAAAAATGTAATTTATTTTAATTTAAAAATAAAAATATAAGGAAGACACCAATTTTTTAATGAATAAAACATAAATTTATAGGTGGTGGGAATCGAATTTTTTGTCCCTAATGGACCTTTCCCATCGATTATCAACCCACCCGAGGGAAATATATTCCTTGCATACCCAAAAAGAAAATGGTGGAATGTAAGGCATATAACTTACAACTTCTTACCATTCTCCATTTTCTTTTTGGGTTACAATATCTTCTCAGCATGATTAGGAATAGGTTTCTCAATGTTGTCAGACTAGGAAAGCAATAAATCATTGATTTTTTTGCCTTAGGTAATTGTCATACTCCAAAATTTGTCATACTCTTTTATTTTTTACCTAGCTTACGACTTTATTCATCTGCATGCATTTAGGAAGCATTCATATCATTCATCATGTATATGTAGATTTCATTCATTTTATCTACATACATTGTATATTTCATCATTTCATCTTCATTTGCAACAACTAGGTCAAAGGCTCTTTAAGATGATGTTTTGCTTAAATCAAGAAGTACTTTGAATTTGGAAAATAAAAAGTAAAGAAGTGGTTGACTTTTGGTCAACATGTTGACATTGATGACCAAATGTTTGACCGCTATCCTAGACATTCCCAAACCTATTCATTATCCTTCTTTAAGTCATTACATTTTGTACAAAAAGAATGTATGCATGGCATATCATGATTTATAAAAAGATAGAATTCCTACTTGCATCTAAAGCATGATTTTGAATCGCTATTCAATTCATGCATAGACATTTCAACTTGGATTATTTCATTCATTCATAAAATAATTCACATTCAAATAAATTTACATTCATGAGTCTACATTACATGTCGCATTATCCATTCATTACATACATAATGCATCATAAATTATTACATGAAAAGACTTGTAACATTACACATCTAAGAATCATTACATCATAGCATTATCCATACATTACAATAAAAAAGGAAAATTCTTCAAGTCTTCAAGTGCCATGCCAAGTTTAATTCCAAGCACATCATTCCTTCATTATCATTGTCATCATGTGCATCTGCCAAAAAAATAAAAACAAGTTAGAAATTACATTCAATTGTAAAATTCAGTACTTACATAACACATTCAAATTCACAATTATACATTCATATTAACGAACAAAATTAAGGATCATGAGTGTCATACCCCAATTTTGACCGTAAATATTTGAATCGATACAATTATCATAGCATTTGCATCATCTACATAGTCTATCATATTTTTTCCTGCACAATGCCCAAATTATCAGACAAAATAAACAGTTGGATTACAGGCAAGTCGGTCAAATTAAAAGTCAACTGTGCATAAAATCAGTGGAGGAAAAGTTTCAAAATTAAACTTGTAGTCATCAGTTATATTAATCTACGTTTTGTATAGTTTAGCCTGACCTGCTCATTTTAATTTTTGATTACTTTTTGACCCCGTTTTTTTATCAGTTTGAACCTTTTAATCAGGGAAATTTTATTTTGAAATTTGACCAAACGCCTTATTTTTCCGAGTCGTTTATTTCGCGCTGATCATTTTGGTGGATTCATTTTATTTTTTCGAACACTTCGATACAAGACTGTTTACTCATTTTAACCAATTTCATTTTTATTTTTTAGTTAAATAATTTAATTTGAGTTTAATCAGATTTTTTTATTTAAATAGTTAATTTTATTTTTATAAAAAATAATATTTAGTTTTTGTTTTATTCTCTTTTTGACAAAACTTGATTGTTAAAGTTTTAAAAAGTTGTTTACTATTTTGTTTCATTTTGTTAAAATTTGATGCATTACATGAAGTTGACACATCATTGATTTTGAGGACCAAAACAAATTTCATGCGCTAACCTCTCACGTTAACATCACGACTCACTCTCTCATATTTTCAATTGCAAAAAAAAAAAAGAGGAAAAATGCTTCCTCATGGTACTACAAAAAGGGAAGCTCCTACGCATGATAACAGGTCCTGGTAGCTCCACATTTTCATTTTTTCCTCATATGAAACTCCCAACTTTTCGCATACCTCCATCGCTTTGTTCTTCTTCACCCTTACATAACCAACCTCGAAAATTCACACACGTTCCATTCTTCTTCCTTCTTCCATGACAAACAACTTCATGGATCTCATCTTTTGTA